CAGTAATGGGTTAATTTAATTATTATTATTGAATATATGATGAAACTTTTCAGGAAGTGAAAGTTCCTCTGGTCAAAAATGAGCTTGTAAATTAGTTTTGCAAAAGGTCACAATGGTCAATTTTTAGGCAATTCTTTGAAATCTAGAGGGTGGTCCCAAACTTTTAGCATCTAGTAAATGTATAAAAGGGGCAGCTGAAAAGTTACTGGCTTTACCAAGAAGGTGTTCCATATAAAATTTTGATGTTTTTATTTCATCAGATTTTAGGAGATATTTTTCAGCACCCCATAATATATATATATATATATATATATATATGATTAATGTGAATAAAAGCTGTTACTTAGCTGCTTGATGTTACCTTTAGCATCCCGATTCCAGATTTTTTTAGACGAACCTGTTTGATCACTCTTCAGAGGCTATCAGCAATTTAATGCTGAATATTTAAAAAAAATTTTTTTTATATAAGTATTTAGCACTGGTGTAAATTTTCTTCTTCTGTCCGCATGCTTGTGTGTGACTGTCTGCATGGATGTGTCATGATCATGTTGCCCTTTTTCTGTTGATTTTTTTTTTTTGTAGCAGACTTAGTCTCATTTTGATCCAGCTCTAGACATGTGACCTACTTTTAGTTATTAATTTATTTTTATTTATGGCCATTTTGTTTCTTTTGTACAGGTAGTTGTATTTCATTTATTTACATTTTTATATAAATAATTGGTATTAATGTTTAGACAATAAATATTTTACATATCTGATACCAATGGTGTTAATGCTTAAATGGTAAATACTTATACATTCACATGCTCACATACAGATATATACATGCATACATATGCATATTTATATATATGTTCACGGGGTTATTATTTTGTTTTTTAATTGGGTTTGGTGATAACATAAGTATTAATTATAGGAGGTTAGATTTATTATTAAGTTTAATTATTATTGTTATAATTTATGTGCATATGTCTGTAATTATATGCTTGCATACACACATATGTCCACATCTATTCATGTGCATATATATATGCACACACAAATGCTTGTAGATGTACACTTAAGTCTGTGATTTGTTAATAGTAGACAAGTGCATAGATGGTGAAGTCAGTTAATTCTTTAAATACCTACATGTATATACTACACACTCCTGCATGCATATGTATATATATATATATATATATATATACACACACACACACACACACATACACACACATTTCATTGAATCCAACACACAAGAAATAGGAGTTGACATGCCGTTAAATCCAACATCCATCCATCCAACACACAAGGTGCTTTGATTTTGTCTTTTTATACAATTTTATACAAAAAAAATAAATCAAAGTCTATTGTATTCAATGAAATGTGCATGAAAGAAGGATTGCTGCCTAAATACACAAATATACATATGTGTGTGTGTGTGTATATATATATATATATATATGTCTTTTCCCCACAAGAAATGGGATTTTTCAAGTGTATATAAATATTTAAAATGTATAAAAAATATAATAATATTACATATAAATAGTTGATATATTGTTTTCTAATGTGTTTAACTCCATGTAACACTTTGATACATATTGTCACTTATGTGATAAGCATAGAATTGAATTCTAGCATTCTAAAAAATGCCTGCGTGTAGCCAACAAAATATTGTCTACTTTACTGGAAACATCCGTTTCTGGATAATGACTGAGATGGTTTAACTTACTTGTGAAAAACAGTGCAAAGCATGAACTTTATATGTTTATCTACAATTTTGATTTTAAATATATATATCAAGAAAACCCCACTATAAAAATAATTCTTTTATTTCTTGCTGAAAGAATCTGATAATTGCGATAAAAAAAAGTAAGGTCTGATAATTGACAATTTATCTGTCCCTTACTTTAGAGGTTTTTCTCCTAAGTAATTCTTTCAGTGATCTGATTAAATGTGAATCTTAAGGTGCTAAAGTATAGCTCAGTGATTTGATTTGAAATGTCTTAATGATTTGATCTTCTCTTGAGGTTATTTTGTTGAGTGTGTGCAGAAATTTCTCTGAACTTCTCTTTCAAAAATCAGAGACAGCATACACAGTAGAAAACTTGATTTTTTTAAAATAAAAAATGCTGGTACCTTTGCTAGATGTGGCCTTGGAACAATGATAAACATTCCGTTGGCCAAAATTGGTGATAATCTTTCCTCTTTACTTGTCCAAATTGTTATTATAAAGTAATTTTGATTTTGTGATGGTCTTTGTTTAAAAAAAATTGTATGAGAAGTAATGAAACGTAATTTGCACACCTGGGAAGAGATTCCAAAAGAAAAATCTCATGTTTAGTCAGGTTTTGGGGAGTAGGTCAGGTCAAGAACTTTTCAGTACCCCCTTGTTTGAAAAGAAATGTTCAGTGAAGGAAATGGAACTTTAAATGGTTTAAACATTGAAATTGTACTTCACCCATGATTTGAAATTCTTTCAAGAAGGAACAAAAGAATTTGTTCCATTATAGGTTTACTTTTATCATTGCCAGTAATGATTATATTCTTGATAAATTTTAATATTCTTTTCATTTAGTATCTGTCTATATTTCTAAGATGAGGTATTATGTACACTATTTATATTATTCGGACTATTGTCCTCATCTTTGTCGCCATATTTATTACAACATTTCGGCCGTTGTACACTCCGACCTTCTTCAGTTGGTTGGAATGTCGAACTGAACCCTTTATTTTGCTCACTGGGGTAGACTGTCCTAGTTCCATGTGCCATGTCTAATGGATGTCAGTTATCTCCTGCTTAATTCCCTCGCTAAGTTTTCCACCACCTTAACCAGGTATTGAACTCACACTCTTTGGGTCTTTTCATTTAAATGGGTTTTTATTCCATTTGCTACAATGTGACATTATTTTCTGAACAATCAAATCGTTTTTTGAAAAGCATTGACTTGTATGGCTGTTTGTCTGCAATAAGCATAATATAATATAATAACATAATATAATAATATAATAACATAATATAACATAATAATATAATATAATAACATAATATAATATAATAATATAATAACATAATATAACTGTTATGGGACCTTACCCATAATAACATAATGGACTATTCCATACGTAATAAATACTGTGCCTCAAGAGGAAGCAGGGAGTTTCAGTCAGAAGTCTGGAGTGATGTTCGTCAGGAGTCTGTCAGTCAGTCAGAGCGAGTGAGTCAGTCAGTCGAGTCAGATTCAGTCCGAAACAGAGTCGCATTCAGACAATTACTACAAGACATTGGAATAGTGATACTGGTCAAGACTACATTGTTCTCCCCTACTAAACCTGATTGTTCGTACTAACACTTTCTACTTTGTATATATTCCTGTTTGTAATATATCTGTGTTATTCCATATCCGTGTTCGAGTTCTTCTTTATTGGTTCTACCTTGGACCATCACCGTGGTACAAGGACCTGGACCATAACAGTGACATAATAATATAATATAATAATATAATATAATAACATAATATAGAAGTCAGCAGTTTTTTGAGTTTCATATTTTTATTATTTCTGAATAAAGCTACAAAAATATTGATCAGTTATCATTTTTTAATTATCAGGACTTTACCTATCATCTTATCTATATTTCATCTTTAGTATTAGGCTTTTCAGGTCATGTATATTTTCACCTCAAACAAATCATTTTATTAATTAGAGAAAAAAGAATGGAATTATGCAAAATAGCAAAATATTTTTTTCTTAAATAATTTCTTAAAAATTATCTTCAATATCTGCAATATTATTAAAAATAATAAGAAAATAATACAAAACATATTCAATTATTAAAGATTTTTATTCATTCATTTATTTATTTATGGAGGGATGGTGGAGTAATGGATAGTGGTTCGGATTTAGGCATCGGAGAGCTGAGTTTGAATTCCAGTTGAATCCATTACATTCACTTAAGTGCTAATACCCTTGGGAAATGTATGAATCCTCTTCACCCCACCAGCTATGGGTAAATAGCAAGACAGACTAAGTTCTATAGCAACAGGTCTCCCACAGAAAGAAATGGCAACCTGCTGCTCAACCTTGACATTCATGTATCGAAAGATACATGATCGCCTAAGCATGTATCACGCATGGCACCTAACTGACTGACTGACTGATTCATTTAGTCCCCAAAAAGAATTTTGTTAAAAATGAAATAGTTAACCATGATTTAATAAGTACAAAACATCACAAAACCTGAGAATACACTGTAAATTGTTTTAAAGAAGACTATGGAGAAAGTTAAAATGCTACAGAATATTGATGCATGAAAATCGTTTTAAAAAATCCTCTTGAAAATGGTAAAGTACCAGAGAACATGACTACATGTAAATTGTTTTAAAGACACTCCAGAATAAAATAAAACGCTATCAAAGATGGATAAATTGAAAATTGTTTTAAAGAAATCTCTGAAGAAATATAAAACACCATCAAACATGAGCTCACTGCAAATTGTTTTAAAGTAATCACTAGAAAAAGGATAAAGTACTATTAAACATTAGTACACTATAAATTGTTTTAAAGAAATCCCTGGAGAAAATAAAACATTGTCAGACATGAACACACTACAAATTGTTTCAGAGAAATCCCTGGAGAAAGATAAAACACTATTAAATATTAGTACACTGCAAATTGTTTTAAAAAAAATTCTTGAAGAAATATAAAATGCTATAAAACACCATCAAACATTAATACTTTGTAAATTGTTTTAAAAAAAAACTCTGAAAAAATCCCTAGAGAAAGGTAATACATCATAGAACAGGAATACAGTGCACATTGTTTAAAAGAAAACTATCTGAGTAAAATAAAACATCATATGATGCAACATATATGTAAGAAGACATTGATATGAAAATGAAAGATGAAGATATTAGTTTGAAAAATATAAGGATTAATGAAAATTTTTCATTTGTGAATGTCAGACAACAGTTTCATGTCATTTAATTTATTTCCATTTTCTTTTTTACTTGCAGCAACAACAAAAACTGCAAGAGCAGTTGTTGCACCAGTTGAATGAACAGCTGCAAATGAACATCTTGCAGCAATCGCAACTCCTGCAGCAACAGCAGCAGGTGGCACAGAGCCCGCAGACAGGGTCAATACACAGTCAGATAACACCGACTGATAAGAATAAAAACAATAAACAAGTAAAGCAGAGAATGCAGGAACTGACTCTCCAACAGCAACAACTCATTCAACAGATTCAGTTACAGCAACGTCAGTACCTTCTCTCACAGGGTATCGGACTTGTTCCATCATTTGGTTTACCCCAAGGTAAGTGATAAGTTACTTTTATTTTATGAACAAAGTATCAAGGATCCTGGTGTTTCCATGAATCTTGGATTTTAGCCAAATTAATGATGAATTTGATTGTTATATTTAGAATTGCATTGCTTCATCAATGAAATATACATATACACACATATCCATGGTTTATCTGGCATCCTTGATTCCAGAACCATTTCAGGTTATCTATTTTGCTGGACCAAAAGAAATCACGCAACAGCAATTCAATAATACACTTTTAACTCTCTACTTATGCACCTCTTGTATCTCTACAAGTGATTGTGACATTCTGACTTCAACATGTCCCTGGGTATGATGATAAACTACATCAGGCAGCAAGGCCTCTAATCGGGAGATTGAAGGTTTTGAGAAGTATGGAATCACCTCTTAATTGCTGTTGTTCCCAGGTCCATCCTGACTCAGGATGGTAGCACTTGTTATGGTCCCAGTTATTGGCAAATAGTGAACATCCAAAAAAAAGAAAAATAAATCACTATGAAAGAGTAGGAATACACTTTTGTAGAAATACCAGCAATACATTATTATAGCAATGACTAGCAATACATTTTATTTATTAGTTGAAGCCATGAGATTGTTCAAAATATTTATATCCCAGCATTAGATAACCTATAGAGGTTGATATGCCACTAAACAAAATCAATCGCACAAAGACAGGAAAAATCTTTTATGACATTAATCAATATAATATACTACAATTTCTTAAATCAAACTGTATTATATTTTGATAACTTCAACAAAACTACAACATAAAACCCATTAATAATTATGTCCACACAAACGTGTATATACACAAAAGCTGAGTATCATCTACCATGTATTCAATTGTGAAAGCAGAATAACATATCTTATTTTTATTACTTCAAAGCTCCCCAAAAAACTAAATTTTGGTATTAAGTGATCCATAAGGTGTTGATATGTCATTAACAAGTAAAAAAAAAACAAAAACAAACTGATTTCAAGATAAGAAAGATGAAAACATGATGGATAAGACTGAGAAGTGGAGTATTTTCTTGGTTAGGAAGGAATCCCAGCATGTATCTGTATGATTTGTCTATAAATTTGGGGAGGGGGATGCTTTAGCAGTCATTCCACTAGATTGGAACCAACTGGATCAATAGAGGAAAAATAAGAATGGGTTTGAAAGTCTAGATAATTCTTTGATAATAATTCTGTCCTAGGTATCATTTATATGTATGGTATCCCTTAAGAAGCCTGTAGAATGGAGTAATCAAAATATTGTAACAGCAAGAGAAACAACAAAAACAGAAAAGAATGAGTCCATTAGAATAACATCAGAATTGATAATGGCTCTTCCCAAAATTAAAGAAAGCATAAAACAATAACAATTAGTGAATGGCCAATGGTCAAAAAGAAAAAGAAGGTAAAGACTTGCATAAAATTAACAAATTAATTATTCACGCCATAAGTTGGCAGCATGAATGTTGCGATAGTAAACTGCTAATAAATAAACAAATAACATTGAGATGAATAAGGGCGATAAATAAGAAAACATGGTAGAATCTGATAAGCAAATGGATGACATTGGTAGCTTCGTTGAGAGAAGCTGATTAATTATACAGACAGAAAATTAACAAGATGAGAAATCATTAGTGAGGAAGAATATGCATCAGTAAACAAATGAGTAAATATATAAATAATAATAATAATCAAAATAAATGAAAAGAGCCAAAGGATGTTGGGTTGGGCGGAAAGCACCAACCTGGTGAAGACAAACGTTTCATTTTGTCCAAAACTTCTGGTCAATCAAACTTGTGCCAAAATGTTATCTGCCCATCAAACAAAAGTTAAGATTTATTGGTCAATTAAAGCAGTTCATTTATTCTCAGAATTCAATAAACAAGCGGCAGGAAAAAGATATAAATTTGTGACATTATGAAGAGATCATAAATCACTGAGCTAGGTTCAAAGAATAAATCTATAAAGTTGTTATATTGAAAAAGTTGTGTCACATCTGGTCTAGAGCTTCTGCTATATATTTAGAGATTCTTGGTAAAATCCAAAGAAGAACCTGCAATGTTATCAGTCCTCACCTAGCATCTCGACTAAAGTCACTATCCCCACTGCTGTCACGTAGCTTCTCTCTGCCTTTTCTATAAATATTTTAAGGATAACTGTTCTGATGAGCTTTCCTCTTTGGTACCTTGATTTTATTAATTTAAATGCAGTACTAGATTGGCAGGTAGGTCTCATTATTTTACAGTTGAAATGGTTCAGTGTAACTATAAGTTCTATTTTAATAGTTTCTTCTCTTGCACTTCTTGGTTGTGGAACTCTCTTCAGGCTTTTTGCTTTCCAGACAACTTTGGTATTCAAAAATTTAAATCCAATGTCAATTGTTTCTGTCTGTCTTCTTAATTCCTTTTTTTCTTCATTGTTTTATTTTGTCTTCGTAATTCCTGTTCATTTATTGTTCCTTCACCTTAATAATGTTTTTCTTTTTCTCATATTCTTTCACACTTAGTAACCCCCTGTGTCATAATGGCATTATTTATTGCTTTACTTGGGATGAAATGATTAAAAAAAAAATTATCACTTGTTATATTTACTTAATTTTACATTTATTTTAATTTAATATTCAACAATTACTCACTATAAACAAGAAAGTGAGGTACAACATGGATTTTCAAATATTTTACATGTACAATAGAATTGCAATACTGCTGAAATATTGTCATTTTTTATGGCATGGATAAACAGATCTATACATAAACAGATCTATACATATAATCAAAATAATAACTGTCTACTCATTTCTGAACTAACTGATCTTCTAGAACAGTTAACCAGTCCCTAGTGTGGAGGCCAGCTCAGGCAGATTTGTGTTTGTTCAACACCCAATGATTAGGCTATATTTTATAATGCAACTATGATGAGTGGACTTTATTTAGACTTTTTGGGAGAGTGACATGATCATCAGTTTGAACAGAGCTAATTTGCTTAAACCCTCGGTCATGATGACTTGTGACTTTGTGCTAGCACAACCATTGATGGATTCTGAACAGTTCTGTTTATCCAATTTTACTCACAAGGTTTGGGTTAACTGGTGGCATAATTCCTAAACACTTTCCTGTGGTGCTGCCTGCTGGGATCATCTCCCCAAGCTGATAATATCAATAAGCCACATCCACGAAAATGGACCATAGTGAGATTTGAACCCAGGTCATATAGTCAGAAAGTGTACATTATAAGCACTTTGCTAAACACCGATATATGTTTCTTTATATATATATATATATGTTTATCAGTAAAGTAATATTTACTGAATATATATATATATATATATATATATATATAGTTAGTTAGTTAAACCTAGAGAGCCTGACAAACCTACCAAGGTTTCATTCCCTGACAATTCGCTTAGGTGAAACCTTGGTAGGTTTGTCTGGCTCTCTAGGTTTAACTAGGTCTGCTCTACTTACCGTATTGAGCACTTTATTTAGTTATTTTGCTTACTTTTATCGGGTTTTTTTTCTTTGGGCTTTGGACTTGCATACTAGACGATTATTTTCAACCTACATACATGTTCTTGGTTCTTTCTTTTTTTATACCTTTTTTTTCCCCCTTTGGTATTAGTTTGATTATTTGCAAACCAAGACACCGAAGGTTTTCTGGATGAGTATAATTTCTTATACTTATAAGATTATTACTACTAATATATATATATATATATATATATATATATAGTGAACAAAAGTCAACACTGAGTAGTGACAGTCTGTTTCATGCTTGAATGCAATGTAATCTTCAGGTGATGAAGATTACATTCAAGCCTGAAATAGACTTGTGTTGACCTGATTATCCACTTTTATATTTGCACACACTCTATCCTTGATATTAAACAATTTTACCTCTGAATATAGCATACCTTAAACTATATATATATATATATATATATATATATATATATATATATATATATATATATATATATATTATGCCAAGGAATAAGCGGAATGTAAAGGACATAATTATGAAAACTAAGAACTAAAACAAACAACCGGTTTCGTCCCAGTACTCCTCAAGTTTGATACACTGGGATTATTTAATCATAAACTTAAAAACAAAAAACCATATATATATATATATATATATATATATATATATATATATATAAAATGTGGGTGAAATTTCTTGGGACAATGAAAATTGTGGTAAATTTCTGTACTCCCTTACTCTCACAAAATGGAAAAATGTAAGGATGCTGAAATAATTAAATAAAAAAAATTAATTAAATCTTCTGTGTTTGCTGTATTTAATAAAAGGTTGCAGCCAAAAATATATATATATATATATATATATATATATATATATATATATACAAAAACACACACACAGGTGTTAGAAAAGTAACTCACTATTTTATGTATGAATGGTCAGCTTGGCATCCTGACTTAACACCCTGTAACTTTTTCCTTTGGGGTTGCTTAAAAGACCAAGGCTACTCTACCAAACCAAGACTTTGGAAGAATGTGAAGTGGGAATACAAGATGTTACATCTTCCATAATACAAGAAATCCTGATGAAATCAGTTGATGTGTTTCCTGGGTGGCTCAAGAAGCTGATAGCAAAATCTGGTGCTCATACTGAATTTTAACTAAAACCTCATGCTAAATGCTTTCTTCTCATATCCATTTCTTGTAAAAATTATAGTTAATAAATAAATTATAAGTATTTTAAAATAGAGAGTTACCTTTGAAGCACCCTTGTATATGTGTCAGCTCTATCACTGATATTTAGCACTTTCCAATAAGTACTGCATATATATATACTATATATATATATATATATATATATATATATATATATATATATATATGCACACATGCACATTGCATTTTATAGATGTTGTCAATTTCTTGACTATATTTCATTTCTGTTCTGATGTATATACATTATATTTATATTTGCATCAGAGAACAACAGGCAAATATAATGTCTGTACAGTGTACACTATCTTGGAGTCTCTCTCGACTTCAGAGAACTGACTAACTGAATGTCAATCCCAGGAGTTAAATGGTTTTTACACTGCAAAATGGAGTCTTTCAAGTTATAATGTTCTCTAATAGGTAATTTTGTATATTTTCCTTGCTTCAGAAGGAGACAAAGTATGAAAATGAAAAAAAAAAAAAAAAAAAAAAACATTTACTAGCCCCACATAAATATCATAGGGTCTGAAAGGGAAGGAGAAAATGTACTATACCAAACAAAGAAAAGAAAATAATATAAACTAGAAAAAAATATATGTTGGTCAATTTTTTTTTTTTTTTTTTTAATACAAATTATCTGGTATACCTTTTGTTTTCAACATTTAAACTCACTCTCAATTTCCCTGAGCCTCCATTTTCTTTTTCTTTCAATTTTATGTCCACTCATCACATCTGTCATTCTTCTCCATTGTGTCATTTATCTTTCTTTATTTTTTATTTCTCTTTTCTTTTTGTAGATTTACTTTTTATCTTTCACTCTCTCTCTCCTTATCCCTTCCTCTTATCACTTTTCTCTTTCTTCTTTGTCAGTTTTCCTTCCCTTCTTTCTTTTCCTTCTCTCTTCCTTTCTCTTTTTCTTTATTTGTTTTGCTAATTTTTCTTTTTCACCTTCCTCTTTTCTCCTCATTTCTTTTTGCTAACTTCTTTTTCTTCCTTTCTCCCTTTTCTGATTTTTCTCTTTTCTTTTTTTCATTTCTCTTTTGTTTACTATTTCTTTCTTTCTTTCTCTCTCTCTCTCTATTTTTCTATCTGCTTATTTCCCTCACTTAGTTATGTACTTGCATTGCATGATATATTATATTTTTGTCTCACCCTGGGGTCACTTCCACTGATAGCATCATCACTCATCACTTATCAGAGTTTGGGCGGGGAGAGGGGGAAGGTGGGGAGAAGGAGGGAGTATGTAAGTTTTTGTGAGGACTGATGCAGGATATTAGATCCACCCCCATCTCTTTCTCTGATTTCCTACAGAAAAATAAGCTTGATCAGTCATTTCAGTATTTCCCTCCCTGGCAAAAGGGTGGGAGATCTTGCATGTGGGGTAGCAGGGTTAAATTTTAGTATGCTGGGAGTGCAGGTGGGAGATGGTTTTGCAAAGCTACTGAGATTATCAGGCTTCATATTAAAACCAGTCATTTAAGTCTTTGTCATTATTAATCCAGAAATGAGAAAAAAAAAAAAAAAGAAATGGATAAATTAATAATCTTCATAATTTTTTATCATTATTATAAGGGATATGAATTACTGCTGTTTTTATTTATTTACTAATATAATTTAGTGGTGAGTAGTGTTATTTTCTTAAAAGAATAACACTGCTCCTCACCAAATAGGGCTGGGGTGGGCAAATTGTTGGTTATCAATATTTAATAAACAAACAAGAAAATGTTTTTATTTTTGTTAATATGTCAGTGCTTATTTGCATCAGAAAATAAAATCCTGTTTACTGTTAGGCTTTTCATCTATGACATAGCTCTTGTGACATATTCTAAGTGATCTGATATGAAGTTACGACCAGATTTGTTAGATGTTTTTTACCTTATTTATTCACTTTTGAATAGCAATGTGATTTGCATATATGCATTTTGAAATGCCATCTTCTCTAGTGAAATATATTTAATGTGAGCTGTTATTTTTGTCTAATGATAGCTTCAAGTAATTTTGTGCCTTTCTTGACAGTGTGTGCTGTAGAGTATTTTGATATTATCTACTAATATTTTGCCTTATGCTTAAGTTAATAGATTTTGATTAATCATCACATCATTGTGATGATTAATATGTACAAATTGCACTAAGTTTCAATAAGTGACAAGTTAACCTTTCAGAGAATGTGATATTTGTCTAACCAATGAAAGAATTTAATGTTGTTTTGTGATTATTGGTATTGGAGATGCAATCTCTCAGCCAGCATGAGAATTCTTAAATAACATTATTTTTAATGAGGAAATTTTTGAAGTACCAAGTTACTGGTAATGATAGGTGAAATGGTTTATAAATCTAATGTAATCATTATAGCAAATAATAAATCTAAGGTTTTTATTAAGAGATATGTACTGTCAAATTATATTTTTAATGGCTTTTTAATCTTGTTTGTAGTTAGGGTGCATCTAGTTATAGAAGAATATGTTAATAATGTTTTTTATTTCTGTTGGTTGTGTTATTTTTGTTAAAGTTCTTTAAAGCTAATTTTATTCGTTCCTTAACACCATGATTGTGGAAAAAATTCTTGACTAAAAAGATCTGTGAAAATTTTCCTATTTGAACTTTCTGATGAAACCTAATGATTGAATAAACACATGGTGAGTTCTACAATAATAAAATATCCATAGAAATTTCCTTATTGCATTGTTAAATATTTGAGCTGAACATCTTTAACAAAATATTGCATAAATATGAATGCTAGTCTTATTTTAAGAAGTGGGTACAAATGAAAATATTTAAAATTAACAACTTTTTCCATTTCACTGAAACAGTCATTAAACACAGGCTATCTTCCCTTCCTTCATTTCTTTCGTGTCTTGTTTTTCTACTGCAATCAAAATGGAATAGTCCATTGTTTGTGAGGTATCAGCAGGATGTTAAAAACTTCTGTCTTCCCTTCTTTCTTTCTTTCTAGCCAAATCCATCTTATAAATATTTCTCTTAATAATATTTTTAAAATAATTCATCAAATGATTTTATTTTATTTATGGTAACAGGTTTTTTTTTTATTTTACTTGGTTTCCATCATTCAATATTGTGCATTTAGAAAAATGGTGATTTTATTGCAGTTGCAAATGCCTCCAGGTCTTTTGGCTTGGAGAAGTTCAAATAAGTTTAAACACAAGCTCCAGGGAGCCTTCCTCCCAGGCAATACCTCTCCTTTGGGAGAGAGCTAGGTTTATTGTCTGGTACCCAAGGGGGGGTCTGCAAAAGGGGAAGTACCAGGGGGTGCTTGGGAAATTTTTTTCAAGTGTTGCCATTAAAACCACTTTAAACATTGATCTTGCGTCATATTGCATCATAATAAATTCTTCCCGGCCGTTTGGTTGAGATCAAAGTGTAGTATCTGTTCTTATCAGCTGAATCTGATTCTCTCCCTCCACTTTCAGCTTTCTTTCTTTCATTTTCTTACTGAAACCAAGTAACGTCTTTTCCCCTCTTTCCATGTGATCAAAACATGGAATAGTCCATTATTTATGAGGTACCAAGAGGACATAATGATCATGCTTACTAATAAAAGGAGGGACAAGCGTTTATCATTATAAATTCTTTATAAAATGTGTGCAAAGAAGAAATTATTTTTGCTTAGTTAATCATTGCTGAAAAAGCAACTATTTTATATCTGTGAGGGCATTCATTTTTGTAATTCTGAAAACAAGGCTTTTGTTTGTAGGATTTTTATACAGTTAACATGTAAAATTGTGACTATTAGTTATAACTAAAATGTCAAGTAAAGAGGTTCTCTTATTAATGTTACATTCAGAAGTAAATGTTTGAGCAGATTTTTCTTCAACTCTTTCTTTAAATTTTTTTTATTTCCTCTAAGTTTTTCATTAGTAAGAATTTGTTGTCTATATATCAAACATTTATATGAAAATAAAGAGATGATGAGTGAATATCTAGGCAATTCATTCTCTCATAATGACATTATTTGCCCAAGCAATGGGAACTTTTTGTTCTTGACAGGGTCCTAACTTAATCTGTCTTTAAAAGAAATTTTAAAATAAATTACACAAGAATTGAAAAGTAATTATCTGTAAAGATAATTTTTGATTGGATGGCAGAACAAAGACGAAGAGGAGGAGCAGTGGTAAAGAGGCAGGAATTATCTTGAGCAACAAATTGAGGTGTGGAGAGCCATGATTACTGACATCTCGAAAAATGATGTCCCTTTTGAAAGAATGTGCAGAGTTACCTTGCTGGTAGGTTTTCAGAAATGATGAATATCAAGAGACTGGGTGGGAGGCTGAAAAGGTGTGGGGGTGGTAGAGGAAGATTGTATCATAAAAGTAATTAATTAATATGGAAGTTGTTTTCTTATGTTTTTTTTTTTTAATTTTTTCCCCCCAATCCAGAACGTAAACGAAATGCACCAAAAAATGAAAAAAAATAATCATTTATTATGCTTCTTATCTTTCCTATTCTGCTTGCAGACTGACTTGTAATATCTGTTGATTCAAATTGAGACAAATAAGAAAATCCTTTTCAAAATTAACATTTCTGTGCATACATACATACATACATATATATATATATATATATATATATATATATACACACACACACACACAATTAGAATAAGAATCTATATCAAAACCTTTAAAAAATCAATCAGATTCTATCTCATTGATACCATAAATTTCACAATAGATTTATTATTGATTCCATTGGAAGCTCTGTCTGGATGTTTGGACAGTAAACTTTTTGTTCAAAGGCATTAATATGCCAAAATTTATATAGGATGGAAATTGTAACATTCATCTTATTGTGAATTGAACCGTTATCATTCAGCATCTGTGTATTTCTTTTGTGAAAGTTTGGGGAGGTTTTTAATCAACCATCTTACATTACAATTGTTCTAAGACTTCCTTTTTCGTTTCTGACTGCTTCTCTTTAAAAGGAATTTCTTTAAAAGGAATTTGCGTACAAAGTGTCTCTGACGTGCTTAATGGTTAAATTATTGAAAAGCAATAACAGGACAGATTGGTATTAAATTGTAAGATTTTGCAAAGATTATTTTTCTTGGGTTTTTCAATGAAATTTACAGATGCAAAAAAAAAAAAAAAACTTGCAGTGTCAAAATTGCATCCACTTAAATAAGCGTGCATACATCTTGTTATTTTTTTTGTGGATGATATCTGTGAGGTACTTTGTCCTGCATACAATGATAAGAAAATATCAAATATACTGTGTAATCAAATTGTATAATTTTCAATGGTGTTCTTCATTAAATATTCAATAATCGTTTGAATTTCTACTCAAGTGTACATATGTATATTTCTACGTATTTATCTATAAAATGCCTATATAGATATATATATTTACCAACATGTGTGTATTTTCTTAACATATAATGTTCAACCATGTATGTATGTCTCTTTCTTATCTCTTTGTCTCTCTGTATGTTTGTATATAAAAGATGAATTTCTGTGTGTGTGTTTATCTCTCTCTCTATAATATATATATATATATATATATGGGCACATAGCCAAGTGGTTAGAAGGTTCGCATTCTGTCTGACCATGAGACCTGGGTTCGAATCTCACCATGGTTGATTTGTCTGATGTTATCAGACTGGAGGGGTCAATCCCAGCGTGTGGCACCTTTGGTAACCATACCACAGGTTGACTCAAACCTTGTGAGTGAAATTGGGTAGATGGAACATTTGAGGTGGCAGGGGGTCGATAGCTAGCATGGAGTCACAAGTCATTGTGTTTGAGGCCTTGGGCATGCTGGCCTTGTTCAAATTGTGATCAGGCTAGATAACATGCTTTTTCCTAGAAACTGTAACTAAGGTCTGCTCAGCATAGTTGCAGTATAAATCACAGGTGGGCTCTGTGGGTGTTATGCAAATGTGCCTGAGCGAGCGTCTGCAATAGGGATTGGCTAACTGCCCTAGTTGATGTGTATCCTTGACTATGAGTGGCCAGCTATATATATATATATATATATATATATATATATACACACATATATACACACACACACACACACACACACACACATATATTATAACTGCATATGTATGTATGCCTGAATAAATGGATATGTATCTGCGTCTAGCCTTGGAT